CTCCCTGCCCTTGTCCCAAGCCCCTCCCCAGCTTTCCTGGAGCCCCTTCAGGCACTGGAAGGTGCTCTAAGGTCTCCCTGGAGCCTTCTCTTCTCCAGGCTGAACACCCCAACTCTCCCAGCCTGGCTCCAGAGCAGAGCTGCTCTAGCCCTCTTAACTTTGTGTCCCCCTCTGGACTTTCAGCAGCCCCAGTGAGGTCCAACCCATGGTGGGGAGGTGGGAGATGCCATCCCTAGGGCTCAGCTGCTCTGCCCCCCTGCAGACACCAGCTGGTGCCCCCAGCCCTGCCCCCTCCCCTGCAGGTGGCAAGGCTACGAAGGCTTTGTGGCAGCACATCACTTGCCCACCCTGGGCTGCAGAGACTGGGAAGCCTTTCACACGGCTGAGGGCTCCTACCTCCTCTACTCCAGTGCCAAGGAGCCGCTTTCCAAGGTGCTCAAGCTGAAAACCACTTGAGGTTGGTGCTCTGCTCCCTGCCAAGGTGAGGGTGAGCTGGGCATGGAGGCAAAGATGGACCACAGAGCCCAGGGATAGCTGCAGCACCAGCCCTGGGGCTGGCTGGTTGTGTTCTCCAGGGGATGGAGAGGAGGAGAGGAGCTTCATGGCTCCCTGCAGCCTTGCCAAGGGGATGGGACCCTCCTTCTGTGCTGTTTCTCCCAGGCAAGCTCTCCTGCCAGGCACCAGAGCCATGTCCTAACCCTGGGTGCCTGGAGCCCAGGCACTTCCCTGGGCCCCTGGTTTTTGGCAGTCCTACAGGTCCTGTTGGATGCATCCAGAGCTCCTGCCAAGCTAGGGAAGAAAGAGACTGAGCAGAAGGTGCTGCCAGGGTGGGTGGGTGGCAGTGGGGAGAAAATGGCATGTGAGAAAGAGAGGGGAGAAAGTGGGCTCAGCCTTGGCTCTGGCTGCTCTGGTTTGCTTCGTGTCCACCTTGGGGGGCCTCACCCCCCCCATCCTGCTGCCACCTGCTCTCCCACTCCTCTGTGGCCAGTTTTGGTTCCCCCTTGCTGAGTGACATGTATCTTGTACAAATGAGGCTGGTGCCTCCCCAGCAAACCTGCTGGGCACTGGGACCAGTCCAGCTCCCGTGGGCTTGGGAGAGACCCCAGACTGCTCCAGGTTTGACACTGTGGCCTCTTCTTTTTTCTTGCCTTTGTCTGGGGGACTCTTTTGCTTAACCAGAACTCTAATAAACTCTGTGCACCCAGCCTTTGTCCCATGCCCAAGCTGCTCTGCCTCTGGCTGAGGTTTCCCTCCACCCAGCCACCCCTGCTCAGGACCTTCTGTCTCTTCTGACTGACCCAGAGCATTCTTCAGCCTTCTGGGTTTCCTCTGGTACTGGGAAAGCAACAGGAGATGCCACTCCCCTAAGAAGGGGCTGGGGGGGAGCATGGTCTGGGTCACCCCAAGATCTGGTCCTAGGAGAACCACCTTGGACAGCCCCTGTAGATCTCCCTCCTCCCCCAGCCCAGATCACCAACCCCAAGTGTTAAAAATATATATATTACAAAAAATTATGAGTCAGACTTCCCAGATCATCAGACTGGCTTAATCACCACCAGGTTTTAAAAGAACAAGATGTGGTTTTCTTGTGCTTTCCTCATCTGGTCCATGAGCTTGTACCTGTCACACTTCTAAGGGGTTTTGCCAAAGTAGGTGGTGACTTCATTTTTTGAAGGAAACAGAGAGTATGGTTTGATAGCCTGGCTCTGGGAGCTGGATCTTAGGAGAGGAGCCACTGATTGTGACAGAAAAGGCCTGGGAATGCCAAAGCCTGGGAATGAGGCAGGATGGGTGGGCTGCAGAGGAAGGGGTGCTGCGGGGAGATCTTGGGTGCTGGAGTGATGGGGTTAGAGCAGCTCTGCTCTGGGAATGGGCTGGGAGAGTTGGAGTGTTCAGCCTGGAGAAGAGAAGGCTCCAGGGAGACCTTAGAGCACCTTCCAGTGCCTGAAGGGGCTCCAGGAAAGCTGGGGAGGGACTTGGGACAAGGACAGGGAGGGAGAGGACAAGGGGGATGGATGAAAACTGGCAGAGGGGAGATTGAGGTGAGACTTGAGGAGGGAATTGTGGAGTGTGAGGGTGGTGAGAGCCTGGCCCAGGTTGCCCAGGGAAGCTGTGGCTGCCCCATCCCTGGCAGTGTTGAAGGGCAGGTTGGATGGGGCTTGGAGCAACCTGGGCTGGTGGGAGGTGTCCCTGCCCATGCAGGGGGTGGGACTGGATGATCTTTAAGGAGAAGGTCCTGTGCTATCCCCATGGCACACAGCTGGCTTCCCAGCAGCTTCTCACATTGACCCCAAAGCAACCAAGTCATCTCTGAAACCAACATTGCGGGGTGAGTCATGAATTTGTGCAACAAGACTGGGCTGGGCTTGTCCTGGATATGTCCCCCACCCTGGCTACCAGGAATGGACCCAGGGGAAACAGCCCCAGCAGACAATCAGCTGTTAGTTTTTTCATACATGGTTTATTGAGCTAGATTGACTAAATTGCCAGTCTGGCACCACCACCAACCCTTGCCAAGCCCCAGTGCACATCACTGTTGGAACTGCAGTTGTGCTGTGGTGGCCACCAGTGTCAGAAGAACAGCCCTGGCTGGCCAGTGTCTGATCCCTTGGGAGAGGCTAGGGAAATGAAACCCTGCTGCCTGAGCAGCCCCAGGCATCATGTGCCACCACGGGGATGTGTGGGCTAGCAAGAAATGTCTCCATTGTGCCTTGTTCTCCCCATGTCAGACAGCAGGAAAGATGAGTGAAGGACCCCTTAAGAGCAGAGATGTCTGGGATGGACACACTGGTGTCCTCTCTGCTGTCCCTCCCTGCCCAAGGGAGCACAGAGCAGGGATGTCCTGGGTCCCCTGCCCCTTGCCACCCCTGTGCACAAGGGGATGGGCAAGCAGGTGAGGGCTGCTGCCTTGGTTCAGCCAGAGGGAAGGAGTTCAGCTGTGAGATGGTGCTCAGCAGACACACAGGGTCACGTAACAGAAGGGGACAGGGGTGTTGGACCTGGGCAGGGTGAAGAAACCATATAAGCCAAGAGCTGCTCACACCTGCAGAAGAGCTCAGGACCATGTTGTTGGGGCTGAGGCAACCAGAGATGCAGGGAACAGCTGCCACAGGAGCAGCTGGGAGCTTTAGGTGCAGAAGATGCCCAAACCTTCTCCAGAGCAATCTTTGGGGAGCTGTGGCAGCAGGGCTGCCCGGGCTCAGAGTAGGAGCAGGGGCGCAGGAGTGCCCAATGGAAAGCCTGGGTGGGGGGATAGCTGGGACTGGGGAGGGTCTCCAGAGCCCACATCAGAGCAAAAAGCAGGTGGGAGCAGGGAGCAGGAACACCTTGCAGCAACAGACCCACAGCTCTTCTTGGCCCAAGCCCTGGGTTAGTGCTGTGGCTGATGTGGAAGCACTGAGAGACAAGCTGGGGCTGAGCTTGGTGGCTCAGGTGACCAGGACAAGTGTGTGGGCACTGCCCAGGCAGCCCCTGTCCCCAGCTGCTGGGAAGGGGACAATTTCCCTCCCAGACACCTGCAGTGCACACTCAGAGAGGCAACTCAGGTACCTCATCTCCAGTAGCTGCCCATGATCTGACAGGTGAGCTGTGGGAGAGCTGCAGGTCCCTTCCCCCCCAGTCCCTAGAACCTCATCTGTGGCAGCAGGAGCCTTGGGTCTGTGCTCGAGGGCTCAGTAGTAGGTGCCAAGAATGGTTGAGACCTTCTGCAGGAGCTTCTTGTGGTTGGTGTGCAGGGGGATCCTCTTGTCCAGCACCTGCCAGCGGATGCACAGCTCTGGGTCACAGCCCTGGAGGAACTGGAAAGGAGACCAGAGACATCGTGTCCATGCGGCTGGTGAGGGACTGTGCTCACAGTACATCCAGTCCTTAGCTTCCTGCCCTTTCTTTTTGGGGCCACCACTGCCATCCCACCCCACGTTCTTCCTCCAGTGCACACAAGCAGCTGGAGAAGCCCACTCCTGAGGAGGGAGAGCTCTGGCACTGGAGACCTGGCTCCTCTGCCCCATGCCTGCTGAGAGCCAGGCCGGGGAGCTGTGGAGCCAGGGGTCCCTACCGAGTTCAGTCTCTTCATTTCCACGTCGTTCTGGTGGTCAAAGTGCACATTGATGGCCACGGTCTCCACCCAGGCATTATCCGTGTTGCGGGGGTCATCGAGGTACCCCTTGTGTATCTGTGCGTGGGGCAGGAGGGGCCCATCAGCAGAGCCCTCCCCACCTCTCCACAGGCAACGCGAGGCCCTGGGGTGGTGGGGCATTGCCCCACAGCTCCTCTGCCCTGCTGGAGACCTGCACCCTGTTCCCACTGCAGCCAGAGCCGTGGAGAGCCATGGCAGCAAGCACTGTCACAGCTGCCTGCAGCCCACCCCGGGGGCCCTGGGCAGCCCCCTGCCCAGGTGCAAGGTCATTATGGTGGGTGTCCACCTCCCCCAGCCTGTCCTCCCCAGAGCCCAAGGGGTGAGGGACCCTGCCCCTGTGCCCTGGGGACACCCGGGTGCCCCTGCCACCACATGTCCCCGTGCTGGGGTGATGTCCCATGTGCCTGGACCCGCTGTGACACCCCTGTGTCCCCTGAAACCCTTGCGTGTCCCCCACCTCAGTGCCCTGTTTCAGCAAGTTCTGGAACTGGGGCCAGAACTCGCGGCGCAGGATCCACTTCAGCTTCAGCGGCAGCGTCTCCCCGGGCTCCAGGCACCCCTGTGCCAAAGCAGCTGTCAGCCCTGGCACCTGCCACCACCAGCCAAGCCTCCCTCACTGCCACCAGCTTGGCCACTGGGTGGTTGTCACCGCTGCAGAAGGTGCCACAAGCTGTGGTGGAGGGGGGGGAAGCAAGGAGTGGTGGTGCCTCCCACCCACCCAGGCCAGAAGTCCCCAGCTGTGCCCCAGCCCTTGTCTGAGTCAGTCTGATCCAACTTCTGGACCTCTCTGCCAAAGGAGGCTGTGCCAGTGGCTTATGGCATGAAGGACACGTGAGAACTGAAGATGTGGAGGAGGAGGAGGGAGGGAGAAGCAGGAGACAGGGGGTCAGGGTGGGTGGGGATAGGTAACCTCAGCACCAGCACGCTCGAAGGCTCTGCAGAGGGGCAGAGGTACCTCCCAGGACGAGGTGGCACCCATCTGTGTCCTCCCTGCTCTGCAGGGCATCCAGCCATCAGGACTGGGCCAGCCTGACCTCCCCAGGCCCTTCTGGGCCAGCTTTCCACCAGCTCTTACCCCAGGCAGAGCCCAGACATCCGACAGCGGGTACTGGGCCACTAGGACTTCCAGCATCTTCTTCAGGCTCTTCCTGATGATGGACCCATCCAAATTCCTCCTCCAGCTGCCAGAGAAGCCCCCGTTATGCTGCAGCTGGACTCAGCACCACCAGCTCCCGGTGTCTCTGGGGTGGCTGTGTCCCCTTTTCCATTCCAGCTCCCCAGCCCTGTCCCCCAGCAAGGCCACCTCTGTGTCCCCAGGCACTCACCGGGTCACCACAGGGTGCAGGGCATGGTTGGGCCCAAAGCAGTGAAGTCTCCCCCGGCCTCTCAGCCCCGTCCTGCCCATGGGGTTCCTGGCAGGGAGAAAGGGAGCGGGCTGGGATGGCACCAGGATCCCTCTGCACACCCCGTCAGGCTGAGCAAAGCTCCCCCAGATTTCCCACCATTGCTCCACACCTCTTCTGGGGCATGTGCCATGATCCCTGCCCCACCAGGAGCTGCAGGGAAGCAGGAGGGGGCTGGATGCACCCAGCTCCCCCTGGATTCTCCATCTCCCTGGTGCTTTTCCTGCAGCCAGGCACCCCATTTCTCACTGACCCCCCCTCTCCCCACTCGGGGTGCACTCACAGTGGCAGCCCATCCTGCACGGTGTAGAGGCCGTGGAAGCTCTGCCTGTCAATCAGCCCATCCATGGTGTTGTAGTTGATCTTCAGGAGAGACTCCAAGGAGCTGGGGGGGGGGGAGGCAGCCCGGCTGGGGGGGTTGGCTGTGCCACCCAGAGGAGGGGGCAGAGGAGTGGGGGAGCCCCAGGGGGACACACTCACGGGCTGAACGGGTCTTGCACAGCCATGTCCTGGTGGTCAGCTGAGTAGGTGGGAGGGTCGTAGAGTGGGAAGTCCACCTGCAGAGTCCATGGTCATGTCAGGCTCCCCTTGCCTCCCTGCTCTGGTGGCAGGCAGGGACTGGGACCCCCAGGGACACCCGCTGCTCCAGTCCCTTTTCACAGCAGCGTCATTCCCCAAGGCACACGGGGACTCCAGTGGGTCTGTTCCTCTTCCCACTGCCATTGGATCTGCTCCATGGGTCCCCTCCCAGTCCCAGTGCCCAGAGTCACAGCTCCTACCTCCCAGGGCACCTTCTCATCCGGCACAGGGAAGCGGAGAGTGCGAGACCCGGGGTAGAGGAGGGTTCGGGCGAGCACATGGTGGCAGGGCTGGCTCTCCTCAGCTTTCCCCTCCAGCTCAACCTCCTTGGTCTCCGAGGCTTTTCTGGAGCCTGCGAGGCAGACACCTCAGCCAGGTGCTGAGGCCCAGGCTCCAGGTTCCCCCAGTGGGGTGGAGATGGGCTCCACTTACCCACGGCTGGCATGTCCTCTCCTGAGCCAAAGCCACTGCCCTGCAGCGCCTGCATGATCCACCTCAGGGCCTGGGTGCTCTGGTGCACCTGCGTGGGACAGGGGAGGCTCAGCCCTCCCACACCCCATAGCCAGAAGGTCTGGAGGGTCCTCTTGGGCCAAGGAGAAGAGTTGGGTCGGGTCTAACTGCTTGGGTGACCAATGGAGGCAAGGGCTCCATCCCACCACTTCCCACCTTCATCCTGCTCACAGAACATGCCCCATAAACCTTTTCCTCTCAGATGGACTTGTTTTGGCAAGGACACTCGAGCTGTTGGCCAGGGGTTGGCTTGGGGAGGCTTTCTCTGGTTCAGCTGCCTGGAAAACCCCACCTCTGCTCAGCTGTTGCCTCACCTGGTCTTCAAGAGAGACCAGTCTCTGCTCCAACAGCCCTGTCTTCTTCACCCGGTCGAAGTCCAGCAGCTCTGCCAGCACGTCAACCCTCGGGGCACAGCGCAGAGAGGAACCCCCTCAGCAGCCACCTCTGCACTCACCCCAACCCCTCCCTGCCCAGGCCAGAGGGGTGTCCCTCTCTCAGGGGTGGCTGGTACCTCTGCGCGATGTCCCGGATCTTCTGCTCCGTGTTCTGCTTCTCCTGGCACTGCTGGTGCTGCAGGTAGTTCTCCTTCAGGTACATCTCCCAGGAGAGGAGGGCAGCTTCTTCATTCTTCTCCAGCTTCTCTTCTGCCAGAGGAAGGGAGGCAGCAGGGCGGTCAGGACACCCCGGGCATCCCAAACCCTGCTGCCACAGCCCAGATTCCAGGCTTTGGGCTCAGGGTGCCACCTCTCTGGGTGGGAGGAGAGGGCAGGAGGGGGGATGTGGGTCCTCACTGAGCTGTTTGGGGCGGGTGGTGGGTGTGCGGAGCAGGCACCTCTGGAGCAGGAGCTGCAGGTGGTTGAGCAGGATGAGGGGCGGCGGCGCGGGCGGGCGGCCGTGGTACTCCTCGATCAGGTCGTGCCTCTGGAACTTCCAGATCTGGTCCGTGTGCTCCTGGACCTGCTGAAAGGTGTAGCTGGGGCACAGCCCAGGTGTCAGCCGTGCCGTGGGGGCTGAGGGGACACGCTGTGGCTGTTGGGTGCCCCAGCTCTTACTGGTTGGCACCCCTACGACCACCAACCCCCCAGAAAGCTGCCCCTGTGCTCTGGGCAGCACGTGGCTCAGGGTTCTCCTTGCAGGTTCTCAGCCTGTGGTGCCCTGGCTGTGGCCAAGCCAGCACCAGTCACTGCCAGGCCCACGTAGCCAGGTCAAACTCACTTGAACATGGCGATGAGGAGGTTGAGGAGGAGGATGTTGGTGAAGAGCAGGTACAGGCACAGTAAGATGACTGTCAGCCACTCTGGGAAGATGGGTTTCTTGCTGTCCTCGTTTGTCTCTGGGCACTTGGGCTTGTAGGGGTCGGTCCCATTGGGGCTACACTGGTCGATGTTGAAGTTGACCCCTGTGAGAGATGGTGGCATGAGATCCACTGCAGCCCAACCTGGCAGTGTCCCAGTATCCCCTACGGTGCTGTCTTAAGGTGGCCAGCACCAAGAGAGCTTAGCACCAGGCAGGGATCTGACCTCGATCCACATCATCCCATGGCAACACTCCCAAGGTGCTGGTGCAGGCTCCATCCCTACGTCATTGCTGCCCCCCAGCCTTATGTTGTGCTTGGAAAGGAGCACAAGGACTTCCATGGGCCAGCAGGGCAAGAGCCAAGCAGACTGTGCCTTGAGCTTGGTCCACCTCAGCTTTGTCACAGCCCCCTGCTGATGCCACCTGCTACCACAGGCTGGTGTCCCTTACCGTCGATGTAGGAGGGGATCTGCCCAAAGAGGGTCAGGTAGGAGTGATAGACCACCCCACGGAACAGCCACTCCACACGCTCCTCGTTGTGGATCAGGATGGCCTGCTTGGCAACCCCAAAGGACACCACCCACACCGCCAGCAGGAAGAGGAAGAAGAAAACGTCCTTCATCTGCAAAGACAGAGGGGAAGGAAAAAGGTGCTCTGGAGCAAACGCCGGGCCAGGGTGGGACGAGACGGGTGGTCCATCCATCCCACACACCCGTCCCCAGCTGCTCTGGCTGGTCAGACTGGCAGGTCAGGGCTCTCACCATGCGCTTCACAATGATGATCTTGGGCCCCAGGGTCTTGCTGACGGTGAAGATGTGCATCAGGCGCAGGCAGAAGATGGTAAAAGCCAGGGACAAAATGATGCGCCCGGGATAGAGGGTGGATGGGATCAGCCTGGGCACAGAAGAGAGGAAAGGAAACACCTCAGTGGCACCAACGTGGGTTTGTTTTTTTTTCCTGATCTCCCTCCATTTCTCCACTATCACTGAGCTTCTCCAGAGTGCTTGAGGAAGGGAGTTGTGGCATGAAGAACATCTCTCCTACAAGGAGCTGAAAGCAGAGGCAGATTGATTGGGATTAATCCACCAACCATCAACTCTTCATTGGACTTTGGAAGAAGAAATTGCAATTAAAAGCCTTGTACAGTTCTCAGGAAGGTTCTGTAGCCCACAGCGGTGGCTTGGGCCTCCACGCTGCCAGGCCAAGTGGCTCTGCAACTCACCTGCAAGTCAACCCTGTGATAAAGACCAGGATGGCACAGATATCCAGCTTATTCCAGAAGTCCTTGAAGTACAGGGAAGCCATTTTCACCATCCCAAACCCATCTGGATCATACAACAGCTGCTGGGAAGAGAAGAGAGGTTGGGGTTGTGGTGAAAGCCTTCTAAGGTGCTCATGTGCCTTGGAGAGGGACCTTACAGACCTGCTGGCCATCACTGGACCCTCTGGCTTGCCCCAAGTTAACCTGAGCTTACTGGTTTTTCCACATGGGCATGGAAGGAGCATGGGGTGAGATACCTGAGACATGGGGCTGGTGAAGAAAGGCACTGAGATGTTGGAGCAAAAAGCTGAAAATGATCCAATGGCAGGCAAAGCCTGGAAATGCTTCTGGGAAGAAATGCCCCAGGCAGGAGGCAGCCCCTCCATCTCCTGACATTTCCCAGCTCAAAGCAGCAAGTCTTTCTGCATGTCCCCATGTGCAGCCAAGGAGATCCTCCAGCCTCAGGGACAGGGGAATCCAGCAGCCCCTTGTGCTGGGACCTCTTGGAATGGATGGTGACGTGGGAAGCAGCAGAGGGAAGTGAGGCAGGCAGGACCTCAGAGGAGCACCCAGAAGGGTGTCCCCACCTCCTGCCCGCCCCGTACCTGGCGGATCTCCTCACACACCAGGGAGAGGAGCCAGAAGTAGAGGAGATACTCCCTCCAGGATGGCAAGGGCTGGAAGTCAACCATCAGGACGTAGGCGAAGAGGAGGAGGAAGGTGAAGTAAGAGAGGATGTTCATGTGGAAGATGACGACGGGCGCGGTGAAGAAGGCTCGGAGGCGCGTCAGGCAGCCCGTGGGCTGCAGCCTCTTCTCCCTGCAGGGAGCAGGAGTGGAAGAGGGACTTGGCTGCCCAGGGAAGGAAACCACCCCAGATTCTCCCAGCCAGCCTTGCTGCACCCCCTGCCCTGGCTGCAGGGAGTACCTGAAGGTGATGAGGCTGGTGTAGAGGAGCGGGAAGCACAGCATGCAGGCGATCACCCGCCACAGCCCGTTGTCCACACACATCTTCCCCCACCAGACTTTGGTCAGGAAGGCCTGTGAATGGGGAGGAAGAGGAGGACTAGTTACTAGAAGCTGCCACAGAGCCCCACCACTACCAACAAGGAACCCTGGATGTGGGGCAGGGACACTCGGGCACTTCCCCTGCAAGCACCACTGCTGGGAACCCACCTGGACACCCCCATGGGACACAAACTTCATGTTCTTGGCCTCCAGTGCCAACTGCAGGCAGGTTGTCTTCCCCCAGGCCTCAGAAACACGGGTGAGGAGCTTCTGTGCCCTCTCCTCATCCTTGCGGTAGCAATCTGTGAACACTCCTGGCCAGGCAGGGAGACAGGGCTGAGCTCCAGGGCCAGCCCAGTGCCCAGCAAGGCACCCCCAGAGCACCCCTGTGCAGCAGGGTTTGCCCATCACACCCTCTGGGCTCCCACCACCCAGGCATAGCCCTCACAGCACCACAAGCCCAGCCGTGACGAGGGGACCCCCCGTTGGGCACCACCCACCCCACCCATCACCCCCACATTAAGCCAACCATCCTCCCAGGACCTGGGAGCAGTTGTGGGTTCCCCTGTCCCCTCCCACTCACCCATGGCCTTGTGCTCATACTGCTCAGCCAAGGCCAGCATCTCATCCTTGGTGTCTGTGTCCTCCTCCTCCTTGGCCAGCTCCTTCAGGATCTTGCTGCAGGCCAGGGCAGCTGCCATCGAGTCCTGGCTCTAGAGCAGGAGAAGCCAGAGAAAACGTGGGGCTCTGCCCTTCCCCTGCAATCCCAGGGGTCCTGCCAGCCCCTGCAGCTCCCACCAGGGGGAAGGAGGATGTCATGGACAGCTTGGTGTGTGACAAGGACTGAGCTGTGCTCTCCCCTGGCTGTGGGGGACAGGAGGCAGTCTGGGGACACCCCTGCTCTCCTCCTGGGAAGCCTCAGGTGGCAGGGTGGTCACCATGCCACCAGCCAGGCTGCCTCTTGCCCTGGGAACACTTTGGATGGATGGGTGGGTGGGTGGGTGGATGGATGGATGGATGGGTGGAAGCCTTCTCCACCCCAGTGGTCCTGTGTCCTGCCTGCTCTGTGCTGAGCCCTCTCTCACACCACAGCCTGTCCTTTGGGAAGAGAGGGCTTTCAAAGAATCATAGAATCTTAGGGGCTAGAAGGGACCTCGAAAGATCATCTAGGCCAACCCCCCTGCCAGAGCAGGGTCACCTAGAGTACATCACACAGGAACTCATCCAGGTGGGTTTTGAATGTCTCCAGTGAGGGAGACTCCACAACCTCCCTGGGCAGTCTGTTCCAGTGCTCTGTCACTCTTACAGTAAAAAAATTTTTTCGGATATTCACCTTGAACTTCCTATGCTCCAATTTACACCCATTACCCCTTGTCCTATCACTGGTCATCACTGAGAAAAGCCTAACTCCGTCCCCCTGACACTCACCCCTTACATATTTGTAAACATTGATGAGGTCACCCCTCAGTCTCCTTTTCTCCAAGCTAAAGAGACCCAGCTCCCTCAGCCTTTCCTCATAAGGGAGATGTTCCACTCCCCTAATCATCTTCGTAGCTCTGCGCTGGACTCTTTCGAGCAGTTCCCTGTCCTTTTTGAACTGAGGGGCCCAGAACTGGACACAATACTCCAGATGTGGCCTCACCAATGCAGAATAGAGGGGGAGGAGAACCTCTCTTGACCTACTAACCACACCCTTTCTAATGCACCCCAGGATGCCATTGGCCTTCTTGGCCACAAGGGCACATTGCTGGCTCATGGTCATCCTCCTGTCTACCAGGACCCCCAGGTCTCTTTCACCTACACTACTCTCCAGCAGTTCAGCCCCCAACTTGTACTGGTACATGGTGTTGTTCTTCCCCAAATGTAAAACTCTGCACTTCCCCTTGTTGAATTTCATCATGTTTCTCCCCGCCCAGCTCTCCAGCCTATCTAAGTCTCTCTGAATGGCAGCACAGCCTTCTGGTGTGTCAGCCACTCCTCCCAGCTTAGTGTCATCAGCAAACTTGCTGAGGGTACATTTTATACCCTCATCCAGGTCCTTGATGAAGATGTTGAACAACACCGGTCCCAGTACCGACCCCTGAGGGACTCCACTAGTCACACACCTCCAACCAGATTCTGCCCCATTGACTACAACTCTCTGACTCCTTCCTTTCAACCAGTTCCTGATCCACCTCACTTCCTGATCACCAAACCCATACCTGATCAACTTATCTACAAGGATGCTGTGGGAGACGGTGTCAAATGCTTTACTGAAATCAAGATAAACCACATCTACTGCTCTACCATCATCTATCCACCTAGTAATTTCCTCATAGAAGGCTATGAGGTTAGTCAAACATGATTTACCCTTGATAAAACCATGTTGACTGCTCTTGGTGACCCTCATGTCCTTGATATGCCTAGAGATAGTGACAAGACTTGGCTTTGGCATGGTGCTGTGTGGACTGGGGAGGAACATCAGCTCTGCAGGCTCACCAGCTGGCTGCACCCAGCTTGGGCACTGCCATGGGCCACCTCGCCTGTTGTCCCAGCTGCCCACCCATCCCTCTTGGGGCTGTTGGGAGGAGGTTTGGCTCCACCTGAACCCCTCAGCTGGGACTGACAGAGCTTCGGGCTGCCCTACCTGGGCCCAGATGATCTCTGCCAGCTCCTTGCGGTTCTGGACCACAGCCCAGATGAGGAGGTCCCGGATGGGGTCGGTGGTGAAGGTGGCCCTGCCAGCAGGGCGCTTGTAGAGGGAGCGGAGACTTGAGCCCTGAACCTGCAAGGGGGGAGATGCTCAGACCTGCTCACCTGCCTGCAGAGAGCAGACAGCCCCCCTAGCCTGGGGGGGACCTGCTGCCATCACCCATGGGAGGGTCTGTGCTGCAGATGGTGGCCAAGACCAGACTCATCCTGGAAATGCCACTTTTGCAAGGGCCAGGAGTGATGTGGGGATGTGACCAACCTGCCAAGTGCACCCACCCCACAGGTGGGTCCTGCCCACCACCCTGCCCACTTGGTCCTGCCCACCAGGGTCACTCCACCACGTGGGAGCTGCGGGTCTAGAAAGGTGGGAGTCACACCTGGAATGTGGGTGCAGAGGAGTTGGGCAGGGACTTAAAGTGTGATTCTTGAGCAGACAAGTGCCCAGAACCTCAGCTGCAACCTCCAGGAGGGCTTCTTGAGCCAGTCTCCCCCTCCCTTGATGCAACCCTGCCACCACCACCACCCCCCAGGCTGGAGATGCTCACGTTCAGCTTGATGTGTGGGATGGGGACGGAGAGTCGGGGCCGTTCCGTGTGCTTGGGCTTGGGGTAGAGAGGCTGCGTGGAGGGGCCCAGGAGCTCCCGCAGCACCTGGGAGACATGGTGCAGTTGGACCCTTGGCATTTTGGAGCCAGCTGTGTGCTCTCTCTCCTCCAGCAGGACCTTCTGGAGCTTGCTGTGGAACAGGCAGGACGGGGCCACATTGTCGTAGAGGTAGCCCAGGGTGTCCCAGGTGACAAAGTCCTTGAGACGCACTCCCTGCTCCAGGAACAGCTGCACAAACTCTGGCTTGTTGGAGATCAGGGCAGCTGCCATCACAGGGTGGAGATCTGTGGGCTGGGAGGCCAGAGGTAGAGGTGAGGGTCTCCATGGCCCCAGAGCAGGGCCCCATCATGCTCCTCACCCTGATGGAGGGGTGGAAGGTTTCATCCCTGAGCACACAAGGAATTTCTGAGTGTTAAAAAGCAGCTGGGAGGTCCTCGGACTTGTGGGACATCCCCCCAGAGATACAGTGCTGGGTTAGTAGGTCCTCTCCTCTGACTGTGAAGCCCAGGCACTTGCCTTACCTTCCACTCATGGTCATCAGTGAAGATCTCACTCCGAGCAATGTCCACCCTGTTCCAGGCCACAGCTAACTTCAGCTGGTGGTCCCAGTTCTCACGGCCAAAATGGTCCTGGTTCTGGGATGCTGCATGCAAAGGGCACGTGTTAGAACAGAGGAGCATTTACACAGTGAGAAGATACCACCTGGGTCCCACTTGGAAGGCCTGGCCCTTTGGGAGGAACATCTCTCCCCAGTCAGCTCAGCTTCACAAAGTTTGGGGACCCCTTCGGGGACCCCATCAATCAAGCAGCTGCAGAAGGTGATTCCCATCCCATTCATCTCCTCTCACACCCTCCAGGCAGCTCCCCACCCCTCACCTTTGAACAGAGCCTGGAGAATGGCCACGTCCACATCCTGCTGGCCGCATTTGCCCTCTCTGAAAATGGTCAGGAGCTCCTGGCACCTCACAATGTCTTGGATCTACGAGGAGAGCAGAGGGCGAGAAATCAGCAGCAGCACCTTCTCCCTGTCGCTCCCCACAGCCCCTGGTCCTGCACGGGGCAAGTCCTTGCTGCCCTGGTGTTGCCTGCAGACCCTCTGTGCTGTGCCCCCCAGGCCACCTAGGGCTGGTCCCACATGGTCCCTCTCTGTCCAAAGAGAGGAGCAGAGCTGGAGCCCTTGGGGCGCCCACCAGGACAACGCAGGAGCCTGGCTGGGGGGAGGTGGGTGCTTGGTGGAAGGGAAACAACCAACTTCAATGTCTGGGAGCCTTTCTGGGACCTTTAGTGATTCCTTTGGTCTCTCAGCAAGAGGAGCTGCCTTCCTGCAGGATGCTCACCTTCTTGGTCCACTCCACCAGCTTGGCCTCAGTGAAGAGATCGTAGGTGTCGTGGAAGAAGATGCTGAGCTTCTTCTGGATCAAGGCAACAGTGATGCTGGGCACGGGCAGGCTGGCCACCTGAGCAATGACATCAGCCACACGCCCAGACCCTTCCACAATCACACAGGGGGTCCCGTTGGTGATGGCATTGTAGATGGTCTGCAACAGAGCAGGGAACCCCCTCACAATCCCACCCAGAGGCCAGGGAACCCTCTCCCACCCTGAGCTCCCCAAAGCTGCTCCCCAGCACCCCTGCCCAACTGCACTTCAGCTGCTGTGGCACCTGCACAGCAGCCCAGGCAAGGAGCTGCCCTGTCCCAGCAGCCCCTCTCAGGAGCAGCTCCTTACATCAAGGGTCCCAGGGCCTCCTTCCAGCACCACGCACACGATGGGGATCTTGATGGCCACGCCTGCAGGGAAGCAGAGCCCACTGTCACCTCTCTGGGGGGGACAGCCCCCTCTCCTGCAGCTGGAGGTGGTCACCTCCGAGCCGTGGGGTGGGACAGGCCAGGTGGGAGCCCTGCCTGCCCTCCTGCCAGGCTCCAGGAGACAGGGGAGATGATCTCCTGGCAGTCACACTGCTGGGGTGCTCGAGTCTGGGTGTTAGAATATCAGGTGATTGGTACCACCTGGAAGCCCCCTTGGAGGCCTCATCTTTTGGGAGAAATTACTTGCCCTGGTCAGCTCAGGAGCACAAGGCTTGGGGAACCCCTTTGGTGACCCCATAAGTCAAGCAGCTGGCAGAGAAAAGCCCCTCAATTCGTGTCACTAAGGAACAAGGCTTCACATTTATCATGGCAAATCCTCTCAGCTCTGCTGCCTGGGGACCCCCAGAGAAGCCACAGCCTCCCATCTCACCAGAGGCCACCCTTACCCATGTCCCATCCCACCTGGTGCCCTCCCCTGCCTCAGACCTGACTGTGTCTTGTCATTACCTCCTTTCACCTTGGTCTGCTCAGAAATGAACTTCTCCAGCCTGGTCCTCAGGGGGATTTCCACCCCATACTTCCCGTGGGTCCCATCATCCACCAGGATGAAGTGGGAGTGGTTGCTGTCCAGGCACGACAGGCTGCCTTGGTTCTCCTCATCCAGCACGTACTCAGCTGGAAAGCCACCCTGCAAGGTGCAGGAGGAACCCTGCCAACAGCCTGGCAGGGCTGCAGAGGAGCACCAGATGCCCAGAGCAACCGGCAGGTGGGACAGGGACAGACCAGCAGGTGGGACAGTCTGGCCAAGCAGCCCTCCCTGCAGTCCTCACATCAGCCTTTGCTCCACCCTCCAGAGCCCTCCCAGCCCAGCACCTCCACAAGACAAGGGTAGAGGGGCTTCTCAGCACAGCCCAGCCCAGGACCACCACCCCCCCTGGTGCAGGTGGGTCTCACCAGGGCTGCCAGGTGTTGCAGCGCCCGTTCCCACCACCGCCCTGGGCAGGACTTCCCCAGCAGCCCGGGCAAAGCCAAGGCATCCCCTGCCCCGCCTGGCTTACCAGGGGGCAGACGAGGCTCTCCCGGTTGTAGACGGTCCCCCAGGTGGCGATGCCGATGGTGACGATGTCGCCCTCTCTGTGGCTGCAGCTGAGGACGAAGTCTCGCACCGCCTCCCCCACCTGCTTCATCACACCCGTGTGGGACCCCCCCGTGATGATCCAGGCCCCTGGGGGTCAGAGAGGGGCTTGGGAAGGGAGAGGCTCTGCTCACAGCCACCTGCCAACGTCCCCCCAGGGGGCTGCAGGAGCACCTGGTCCTTGGAGATGCTCTCTTCCCCCCGGGGGATGTTTTCCCTCCCTGCTACATCAAGCCCAGGAGGTGCCTTCTGCAGCATCTCTCAGTTCAGCTCCCTGGGAGCACGTCTGCAGTGATTGAGAACAATCCATCCCTGGTGGGGTGGTCCAGGCAGGGACCTACAGGTCTCCTGGGCCAGCTCAGCATCCCCACAACAGCCCAGCTGACTGAACCAGATGACAGGACCCTCTCCTGCTGCCATCACAGGGAGAGCCTCTGCACCTCTTACCAGTGGTCTGGGCCACTTTGACCAGCCCTTGCCGGAAGATGTTCTTCAGCCTTGGCTTCATGCTGAAGTTTTTGGCTCCCCCAGTGACAGAGATGAGCAGGTTGGGGGCATCAAGGCCCCAGTGCTGTGTCATGAGGTGGTAGATGACCCGGGGGGGGGTATCTGAGGAGACACGCACGTACTGCAAAAAAAAACCCAGGAGCATTCACACGTTTGGGGTAGCAGCAACAGGGTCAGGGGAACAGGGCACCCCCACCACCCACTCTCCTGTCCCAGTAAAGCAGCAGGGGCTTCCCACACCATTTCCCAGCAGTCTTGTGGCTGCTGCCCTAAGTCTTTGTGCAGGACCCTGTTCCCATCCACTTCCCTGGGAGTGAGCATTCCCAGGACAAACTGAAGGGCAAGGAGAGGGAACGGCCGGTCCCTGAAGCACAGACCTCACAGCATGGAGACCAGGCTTGTGGGGTCAGAAAGGGACTAGGTGCAGGGCTGGGAGAGAGGAGGAAACCTGTCCCACCCCTTCTTCAGTGTTGCCTTTGAGGCATTCCCACACTTTCCCAATCTCCTTCATCCAGGAGGGAAATCTTGGCATTTCATCTGCCATGCCCAGGCTCCCCAGTATTTCCCAGGTGGGAAAACCAGTTCACCTTCCCCATCTTCTGTCCCAGGCCTGTGAAGTGGATGTCACCAAAGGCATCTGTTGGCATTTCCTGGATGTGCCTGCTGGGATCCCATTCCTTTCCAAGGAAGATGGGAGGTTTGGCAGCATCTTCCAGGTGCTGTTCCCTGAGGTAGCCACACTGGCACACGACCCTCCTGAAACACACACCACCCACCTTGCTGACCACAACTTCCACCAGGTGTTGACCTTCCCATGACAAACACCACAAGCACCAGCATCTCCCACCCAGCTCCTCCTTCAGCTCAGAACTTGTGCAGAAACAAAGGCATTGTTTTGGGGTTTTTTTGGGGGAGGGAAATTCAGCAAAAAATTGGTATTTCCACTTGAATAAATTTGGGACAAAAATATTCAGGTTGATCTGGATGAAGCCTGGATGGAAATGACTCCATGTGGAAGCACTGGAAAAGTTCCTGACTGGAACAGGGGCTATGGTGACACTCAGCAGGGGGAAGGACCAGTCAAAAAGGAGAGTGTGAATGCCTTTGGCACCAGCTCCCTGGTCAGAAAGGTGGGGTGTGATGGTGCTGAAGCTTTGCCACCAGGCACCCCTTCTGCTTTCCTGGCAGGGGAAGGGAAGGAAGGACAGACTGACTCACCCGGAGTCTGAGGTCTGGGAGCTTTCAACAAAGTAGGTGCACTCCTTCTTCCGGATGTTTTCAGGAATCCATGAGATGAGGTTTTCCTGAGGGAGCAGGAAAAGCAGCAAGGGGTCAAGGTTTCTGCAAAGGGCCAGAAGTGACACCAGGGACCAGACACTCTGGTGCTAGGAGCACATCTGGGTGCTGCTTGTGATGTGAAGGAAGGAAGCTCCATCACTACTGACAAGGACCAAGCCAGATGTACTCCCAGGGGAGGAGTTATGAATGCTGGACATGTCCCTTGGATGTCTGGGGCTTTTCTGTCTGTCCCTAAAACTAAAGTGATCTGTTATTAATGTTCCCATTAATGATTCACCAGAAAACTCATGAATGCTCTCCTGCCATGGCCGGGCAACCACCCGCTCTCCCAGCACCTCCTCAACTTGCCTTTTCGTTGCTGCCAGTGGGGAAATGTGCCTTCCTCCTGCTCCTCGAGACACTGCTGCTGCTCTGATGGAGGTTAGGGACCACCTCGAAGTCACTCATCTTCTTGGGGTGCGTGGCAGAGCCGTCTCCCCTCTCGGGGCACACCTTGTTCAGCTTGGAGGGGAGCACCTTGGGGCGCCGGCCTCGGGCAGCCATGGCTGCTGGGTGCCCAGGGCATCACAGACACACAGCCTGCTGCTTGGGGTTGGAAAGGACCTTCAAGATTATCCAGTCCCACCCCCCCTGCATGGGCAGGGCCCCCTCCCACCACCCCAGGCTGCTCCAAGCCCCATCCAACCTGCCCTTCAACACTGCCAGGGATGGGGCAGCCACAGCTTCCCTGGGCAACCTGGGCCAGGCTCTCACCACCCTCACACTCCACAATTCCCTCCTCATGTCTCACCTCAATCTCCCCTCTCCCAGTTTTCATCCATCCCCCCTTGTCCTCTCCCTCCCTGCCCTTGTCCCAAGTCCCTCCCCAGCTTTCCTGGAGCCCCTTCAGACACTGGAAGGTGCTCTAAGGTCTCCCTGGAGCCTTCTCCTCTCCTTGGCCTCCTCTACTGTTCCCAGGCTGCTGCAGGCAGGGAGCAGCAGGGAGAAGCCTTGTGTTAGTCTCTTTGAATCAGCTGGGTTGAAAAAAAGACCTTTCAGATCCCCCCTCCCAGACCCTCTGTGGGGAAGATGCACCCTGCTGAGCTGCCCTGAGGAGCCCGGTTCCTGGCAGCCTGGCTTTCTGCACCAGCCCAGCCCCAGCAGAGCTGATTGCCTGACAAAAAAAGCTGCGTGAAGAAGGTCAAAGACACCCCCTAAACTCTGGTTCCTGGCCCTCCCAGGGCTGGCAGGCTGCTCTGGCCACCAGCAGGAAGGGCTCTCACACCACGGACACCCCGGGGGTGCCCAATTGTGCCGAGAAAACACCCAGAAAACCTGTCCTTGAGGGGCTGCGGGGCCAAGGGCAGAGCCTGCCCGCCCAGTTTACCCAGCACAGCGGGTGGGGGGGGCAGCACAGGGAGCAGGCAGCACAGGGGCTCCTCACCCCGGGGGGTCAGGTCACCTTTCGGTGGTCTCAGCACTCACCGGGACGGGGATACACAGCCCTGACGGTGCCCACGACATGCCCACCCCCCCCCGTGTCCCTCCGGCACCAGCACCACGGGCAAAGCTGCCCCTACCTGCCCCTCAGCATCCTCCCGCC